AATGTCTGTGCGTCGTTCTTTTTCTGACATTACTTGTCGGTGAGTAAGTTTTAGTCTTTGTAAAGTATGACAAATTTTACTGGTTAGTAAGTTTGTCCCATTATTGAATACAAAGCATTACGAGGCTAATAACACTCTCAATAGAGGGAGAAGAGAAAAAGACAGAGAGTGAGAGAGCGAAAAGAAAGAGAGAAGCAGAGAATGCCAGGAGGAGAGATAGAAATAGAAAAGTACAAGATTCCATGCAAATAATAAAACGACCGATATCGTTCTTTAACTATTTTCGGAATAGTTTCCCATAACATCGTTCCTCCACCACAACCACATCTCACATGCTAATACTTGCCAGTGTTTTCATTCTATACTTCCTCAAGTTTATTATTTATTTTCTTTTTCTCTCAATGTATTTCTCCCTTCGTCCCGATGTGCTTGCTACTGTACTCTTCTAAGGTTTTCTATTCTCTTTACCCTCTCCAGTCATCTATCCTTCTTATCCTTCAGCCTTCCAACTCACCATTATCTATCTGTCTAATCATCATTGAGCTCTTATTCCCTTTTCCTTCAGATATTTGCTTTCTCTCATCCTATATGCTCTTCGCAATATCTCCATCCTGATCTTAAGCTTTTTGATGCGCCCTCTCTTCCTCCTTTTATTAATTTTTGTCTCATTTCTTCATACTGGTTGTTTATCTTATCTAATCACGAAGTGGCAATTCCATCGCAGTCACCCGTGTTATCATGGCGAGTCTTTCTAGTTGATAAAAAAGTAAGTATAAAGTAAAAACAAGATGATCATTAAGAGTAGAGAGAAAATATGAGAAGTTTGATCCGATCTATATCCCAATCACAAGTTATCAACGCGGATAAAATCCCGATAATTATGATCTATCTCCTAACGGTTTACTGCCTCATCGTGGTTGGGAGGTGTTCCTGGATGTCGGACTGCGCTGTACAACGGAGGATTGATGGCACCAACAGGGCCACCCAAGCTGAAAAGATTCCGGCGTTTCCACCACGAAGCCCCATAAGAGTAAACCAATACCAGGATCCACCACCATCCTAGTATCAAACTAATCGCATGGTGGCAAATCTCGCCCTGACTCACAAGGCGGCGACTGCCTGTGGTGGTGACGACCTGGAGCAGACTTTGGCCAGGTTGGCCTGCGGACTCCAAAGAACAACAATGGTCAAACCAACAAAACTCTCAAGAAATGGAAATTATCACAACCAGTGAAGGCGAGCCATCCAGGTATTCAAATGAGTAATTGTGGTCTAAATGTCCCCCAGATGTTTTCTAGTCTCAATTTTCTTCTTTTATCTTTCTCTTGACGTCACAAAAATATGTTTCTTGCTCTTTTCCAGTTTCGTTTACCGTATCAATTGTCAACGTGTATGGAGACAAACGACTACAGTATCAAAGACGTCAAGATAATCACACGATTCACAAAATATACAAATGAGCCATAAATCATGCGCTGTGAATATTGTTTGTCTTCCTAGAAGATTTATGTATTATAAACGCCTTCGATCAATATGGTTATTAAGTATTCGACGCTGAGTAGTACTTTTAGCGATTCTAGGCGCTTGTGATGTGAATCGTGATTCACTACGTGGATGAAAAGGGTTTCGGCTATTTTTTCCCTAAATGTTTAGTATCCACTTTTTCACCACGATTCTATGTAACACAGCTGGTTCGCAGTACCTTTGTATGTGATAATCGACACGTGTTTTGTTACAGATGAAGTTCAGATATCGATTAGTCGCGATCATTTTGTAATCACAGATAACCACAGCTGATAATCCCTCATTGGCATAGTTATTAACGCTTTATCAAATGTTGTTGCTATTGAAATCACTTCTTTCAGAGTCCTAACTTCCATACTTTTTTGTTTTTTTCCAGTGAAACACGAAAAACACTGACGTATTGCCATTCTAAACTTCTTTTTATCCATATGACTACTTCCTTCATATTAAGTATAGACAATGAAGCAAAGACCGATGCAAGGGAACCGTAGAAAGACATCTGATGTCAATCAGAGTTAAAACGAATTCACAACATTAGGCAAGTTCCCAACGAAAATAAAGGAAACTTTAAATAAGGACATTATCAGACATCAAATTTGATGAATTCATCCATACAAATAAAAAACGTAGAAAATTAATGGTTCTGATTACTCTCTTTAATATCACAGTAGTAACATGGAAAACCCATTGAGCAGGGGTCAATGAGACGGCGGCTCAGCGGCGAGGATTTTCTCAATGATTGGCCTTTTCTCCTCTTCTTGCAGAAAACACGAGCGAGCCGCATTTACTTGCTAAAATACTTGACTGAGACTGAGTATCACATCATTTTACTATCATTTATAAGTTGATTATATACAAATATACAAAGTGGAAACATATAAATATATAAACACAGAATGGCAATGGTAGGCAGAAAACTAGCTGAGAGAAAAGGGAAACGAAGAACCCGAATGGTGCGGTGCTGGAACGCGTTAGCCTCAGGAAACCGTAACAGCGTGTTCGATTCCCACCGCAGACACCTGCGGTACGGAGTTTTGCAAATATCTCAGCATTATTGTGGTTGCATTTCAGAAATACTCTGTTTCGAAAAATTGTAGTAGGCAGTAAATAAAATAATTAGCATGATAAAAACACTATATATTGAAATCAAAGAGGGAGCGAGTAGTGCAGTGGCAATGATGCCAATCATCATGACCAGGGTGCTGGTTCAATCCTGTGCCGAGTCCACTAGGACTCTCATCCCCTGAGGCAGGAAACTGGTACTTGTCTGGATCGGCTTATCGTTCCAATCCTCATAGAACCGCCATAGCATGGCAATGCCAGGATCAACTGGAGAGCATTTAGCGACATTCATGACGAAAGAAAAATCCTCAAATAGCAACCGAACCTGCAGCAGAAAGTTGGAAGACTTTCGTGGACGACGGATGTGAAGAGAATTGAATACAAGAAATGCTGGCATGCGTATGTGAGAGATAGGTTGTGCAAAAAAGATAAAATCAAAGAAAATTCTTGAAGAGTGGATCTTTTTTTGAATCTTCCGAATATAAGCGCTGAATGGAAAATAAAGGATCAGACGTCGGATTTTGATCAATCCTTTAGGATTGAGCATGTTTCAAAATTCTATCAAGCATTGTCGAGGTGACAGGTGTCAATACACAAATTGACATCAATGTGCCAAGTGAGCGTTTTTCGTCGTCTCAGCCAACTCTGGCAGACATTTACCAACCCTGAAGGAATGGAGGATCAGCTAGGGAATGCCATCGTCCTAGAACAAATCCAGTCGTGAGACAGTAAATCTCACTCTAGTTCGTAAGGAGTGGCAAATGTTTGTGATGAATAATTTGAAACGCTCAATCACTAGAATGTAGTGATTCCAGAGGAAATTACGCTCAAATAGCATTCACGAGGAAGAACTATAACAAATTCTCAAGAGCAGTTAAATCAAGAACGAAGCCGATACCTCCACGGACGACACTAATACGCAACAAAATGAGTGAAAGAAATCCTGATTTGCGCACGACATATGAAGACGGGTCGCATAGGCATCCAAGTAAAGGCAGCACTCACGATAGTTCTTCCGTTCCATGTTCTTATATTCTGAATGTATATTCCAGAAACTAACCATGAGTTTTTTTTTGAAAGTTCCGAAATAACGTCGAGGACACAAACTGTTTTCGAAAACAGCGATAACTGTCAGGTCCAACTTTAGCAAATGATAGCTCATTCGTAGAACTCTCAGATGAGCAAGTGAAGAGGATGTTTGACTCTCTAATAAATTTGTAACATATTCAGATGACTCAAAATATTCACTTTCTATAAGGCGCAAATATGCGACATATATATATATATATATACTCTTACGAACTGTCCTTGTTGAGCTGATACGAGGTTGGTACAAGTTCTCGATGTGGTTCGATGGCTGACATTTTGGTGACTTAGCCTTCTTCACAGCCTGGACGTATTTTATGCAGTAACGATATAATCCGGCGAAATATCTATAGTCTTGTCTCGTATCTCATTTTTTAAACAAAACGTCGTTCATTTACATATTAGACCTTCATAGGTACTTTAAACACTTCATCGAATTATACGGTTGTCATTGCATAAAACACTTCCAGGCTATGAAGAAGGCGAAGTCACCGAAACGTCAAACCATCGAACTACAGCAAGAACAATAACAACAAGCGGTCCCAATCTAGTGTCAGCTCAACAAGGGCTGCTCGTACGATTGTACACGTATACTTAGACACTTAGTTGACCGACCCGTCTTCATCCGTCTCATTGGCCACCATTTCTATCCGATCTATCGCCTTCCAGTTTTCGTCTAACCGTCAGCAACGGAGATGGTCCATTTCCTGGATAGGTTCAGCGGTGGCTTGAGGGTTAGTCGTCTAGTCACCTTATTGACATGTTGAATTCTGGTCTGGTATAACTTTTCCTGGAATCCCAAAAAAGCAGTGTCAGGGCGTTTGCAAGCGATCACGACAACCAGTCAACCGTCTGTCCTGTAGGTCAAGGGTAGGATTGTTGTCTTGTAACTACGATTCTTTCAGGACAACAGCGATTGACCTAGCGATAACGACCCCTGCAATCAGTTCACCGACCGATCGAGGGCGATGTGATAGGCTGAATCATAAATTTTTCACACTGGAAAAGTCTAAATGTTTTCGCGTTTTTCTCTTTACTTCTCTGATACCAACATTTCGAAACTGAATGTCACTACTTTAAAAGTTTTGTAAGTACCTACTATTCCCAATAACGCGCTAGTCCAAAACACAAGCACGCAGTACCCGGAAACCACCATGAAGTAAAAGTGGAGCACATTTAGAAAAGTCTTTCAGTCAACGGATTCCCTTCCGTTATTCCAAATTTTTTAGTTTTTTCCTATATTCCGTGTCCTCTCCAATTTATTTTGTTCTGAACACTACTTTTCAGAAGCTATAAACAATTTAGGCTTAGCATCATATTTTGATTCACTACTCTAGTCTGAATTTTCCTTGTGAACTTCTTGTTACCACATGGCTCATGGGCGCGTGTGGTGCAGTGGCCCTGCAGCACACATCTGGAATCGATCCCCGCACCCATAGCCCAGCAAGCCTTCCATCTTTCCGGGGTCGGAAAATTGGTACCATACTTGACTGAAGGATAGCAGCACTAGCTCGATACATCGGTAGGTCACCGCGAGTCATTGTAAAAGCCAGATATGCATTCAATCACCGCCAAACGATACTTTTAATGAAGTCTAATGCATGACGCATCCCTAAGAGCTAGATTAACGCCGCGAGCTTTTTTTTTTAGCTTTTTGGCTCATAAGACTTAACAGACAGAAGCCAATGTTAGAGGATTAAAACGTAAAAACAAAGGGTACTAACACATTGCCAAAGTTTATGAACAGAAAGACCGATTTCGTCCTTAGCTAACTGTAATTCACTCAGCATCGTGTTGTCGAAGCATGTTGGATCGTCTCGACTAATCGAAAAGTTCACTTTGTCTCTGGCCCAGCTGAAACCAATCACCAATTAGAATACATGGCAGAGTTTTTCGCAAAAGAAAGCAATTTCGTCAAAACGAGTCTAAATAAATGAACTCAAAAGAAGCGGTGTGACACGAATAGGAACTGACGCGGCAATCGGATGATTTTTCCAGTTCAGTGAAACAGAACCTGTCATAACAGAAGAGTATGGACACGCTTCCAGATGTATCCGTTTGTCATCGATGAAATATCTGAAAATTTTCATTCTTCGAAAAAACACATCCATGTGTGTGTGGCTATGATTTGGGCCAGCGACACGCTTTTACACTGCACTAATTAATGGACATAGTCCTTTGCACGAACCGTGTTTTTTACGTTTGTTTTATATTTAGTAAATCTAACAAGCACGTGAATACACCCCTTTCTGCGGCTTTATTAATGAAAGATGGCAGGAACATGTGCCTTCACGCAGATCTCTTGAGCTCGACCTCAGGAGAATGACCCTGATTCAGAACTCGAACACAACTACGCCGCCAATGAACTCAAATTCGTGCAAAAAATGTATCAGCTAGAATTCCAATACGTGTATTTGAAAACACCACATGCAAAAGCAAAGTGTTCCTGTCCTGCAACTAATACTAAGTTGAAAACGGAGCTTACTTCTTGTATATCTCAGGATCTCGCATCACATGATAGCCATGGCCGATTCGCTCGGCATGCATATCAGTTATGGCCTTAAGTGTGCCACTTCCTTTTTTATGAAAATTCCGATTTCTAAACGAAGCAGTAATGAAATAGAAAGGTACCTTGAGTACTTCCTTTGCTCCACCACTCTCTCCAGCATGTACTGTTCGATGAATGCCTCGTTTGAACGCTTCCTATAACAATACGGCAAGAAATTTCATTTAGTTCTCCAGTTCGTTGTGGCACAAGAAAAGTAATTGATTAGACAGACTAGAGAATGCCACTTAACAAAATCCTTATCCATGCCCTTGGTAAATCCAATATTTAATTCCACCATCGACCAGATATTTTAGAAAAATTTGCGAGCAAAAAATACCAGAGCAAAACGAAAAGTATTTTGCAACAACAGGGGTCGAGTATCCTGTAGAGTGCCCTTTCTACTTTTTACTACTGTGTTCACAAGACAATTAGAAAACAAAAAAAATGAAACGGTCGACGTCTATTAATCTTCTAGGTATGTTCTATGCATTCGAGTCCATTCGTAGCAGAACAGAGGTGATTAAATGAATATCTGGTCAATACAATGACTGAACGTAGCCTATTAATGTATTAAGCCAGCGTTTTTATCATCCCAGACAAGTCCGGTATCGGTTCTCCGACTCAGTTGGAATGGATATGAACCAATGACCACGTATACTGGACGGCACCTCTAACCAATGGTATTGAACTTACGAGAGTACCCTATTTCATTGATAAGCTTACACGAGCTTACACGAATCAATCTTCAGTCGGCTAATGTTTCGAGGTCTTCCTCTTCTTCAACGCCGATGATCTGAGTCAATGTCCACAGTAGTATGTCTTCACGATGTAATGTCTTCGTCGCGTCTCGAGCCGGATGTTCTTTGGCGCAGCACATCTCGAATAAGGCATACTCACCCGGAGAAGCTCACATATATAGGATTGTTGTTACTGACAGTCGTGATCATCCGGTGACAATCACTTGTTTTTTCCAAACAATCAATACTGCAAAAATCGGAGTCACTATTAGCCAGTACGCAGCGTAACAATATTGTTATAAACCGACTTTCACTTAAACTTAGATCAACCATGTATCTCGTTCCATTCATAATCTAACACGAGGTTGTTACCAATATTTATTCGGCTCAGAGGACAATCGCGACTATCAGTAACAACAATCCTGTATATAAAAGCTTCTCCAAGTGAGTATGCCTCATTTGAGAGATGCTCCGCTAAAGAAGTTCCGGCTCGATACGATGACGATGACGCTACATTGAGAAGATGAACGACTGTGGATACCGACTCGGATCGTCGGCTCTGAGGAGGAACAAGACGTCGAAACGTTAGCCGAATGAATATGGGTAACAACCTCGTGTTAACCTATCAACGAAACAAGATACGTTGATTATTTATACCGAGATTAAATGAAAGCCGGTTTACAATAATATTGTTACCAGAGTACTTTGACTGTATGTGGCTCCTTATTACACTTTGCCCCTAACGGTAAATAGTCCTCAACTTCGATTACTGATCCAGTTAGAGTCCGTTTTTTCAAAATGTTTCACTACGGGCCAGCTAGTACGGTTTCGACTTCTGCAGATTTTATTTCCACTATGAAAACGTGTCATATTGGACCGCAAACGATCAACAATCGTGTTGTATGAAAAGGCACTGCCGAGTGAGGTTACCTCATTCCAGCGACGTTCCACTTCATTACAATTGGCGAGAGCCGACTACGAAGATCCTTAGCACAGAAATAAACGGCTGTGGACAATGCCAAAGGTGCAAAAACGTTAGTCAACGTTGTATAACAACCTCGTATAAGCTTACCAGTTCAACAAAACATTGATCCAACAGGGTCCAAGTAGAAGAGAAGGTGAGAGACTGGATCTAGTAAATATTTTTGGATGAGCTAATGCTTTTGTTGTTAGACACAGCAGAACATTCATTCTCACTGCACCTATGCTCCTTTTTTTCATTACCGTTTCTTGTTGATTTCGTTATCGTCACTAGAGCATTTCCATCAAACCGAATTCATGAATAAAAGTCATCACACAACCACGTTTTTCGAGGATTGTTCTTGTGGTAGATCGCACTCCACTTGCTACTTCTTCTTCGTAGGTTAAACAGCTTAGTGAAACCTATTCTTTTCACCTTCTATCATACCCTTCATATTTTAAATTGTAACTTAAAATTTTAATACTGGGATCAACAAAACATGTGAATTAATGAAATAACGTACCTTAAAAATATTTACAACTTCCTGCTCATATTGTTCATCAGCACCATGTGCTGAGCCGGCGACATCAATCGCAACCACTCCAAGATGACGACAATTTGTTGCTGAAGATTCATTCGTAAAAAAAAGTATCCTTATTCGGAAAATTCCATCTGGAGGAAACAATAACGAAAAGAAGAAAATAGTGGTTAGAAACTCACCAATCTGAAGCACGTCATCGGCATATTGGTGGAGACCACGAATACAACAAATGATGGATCGTGCCTTTACACCAAACTTCGCTTCTCCACGATCGAAACCTCGTTTTACTGCTTCAACAACATCGACAGCATTCATCTAGAGTAGAGACATTCAGCGAGTCGTAGTTTTTCTGACCACTTGTTTCTTGTCGCTCTTTTCGATACCAAAAATAAAACGCTAAAGGCAGGAACACGTACCTCGCCCCCTGGTACGCAAAGCAAATGTGGAGAATATCTGCCTTCAAGGTAGATTACACCATTAGCTGCCTGATCTTCACACATCTCATAGGCAATCCTTTCGATCGCCGCTTTGTCTCCTCTTGAATTTTTTAAACATTTCCAACCACTTCACTCTATATTTTTGCGACATTGTAAGGTTCGGTTCAAGACGGTGAATGGAAGGATGACCTAATTAACACTAGTTATATAGTTCTCGGTATTCTTGTTGGGCAAAGACGAGGTGTTTATTCTTTATTCCGAAAAAACTGACGTTTCAGCAGTATCGTTTTCTTCAGGACCGTCCTTTACGTGCATTCCGGCTCCGAAGAAGGCGATACTGCCGAAACGTCAGCTTTAACAGAATAAAGAATAAAGCAACACGTCGTGTTTGCTCAACAACAATATCGAGAACTGTTTGATCAATACCGAGGTTAACAGAAAGTCGGTTGTGGAAATTACTAGTTTTCAAGTTCATTGGAATAAGTACCATTCTGTTTTTTCATTTCTTTCCCTAAAGCTCCTAGTAATGCATGAGTCTCTCTTCTAATATGGCCTTCCTTAAATAGTTCAAAATAGCTCCTGTGAGGTACGGTATACAAAAATCATCTACAAGGTACTTGAACTGGTTGTAAGGACCAACAGTGGTACTTACCGCACAACTGGTAGAAACAGATCAAACGCTTCTAAGACCTTCGATAAATTCGCCGGTTCATTAGTTACGAGCACTTTCCTCAATTCCTCAACAGTTCTCGCTCCTTTCAACGGGGTTCCACGAGCTCTGAAATCTATATATCCCGACTTCTAACAACTTTGCTGCGATAAAATCAATTCAATATCGTAGTTCCTCTAATTGTTTGAGTCAAATGAACAAGAGACCTTTTCAATCCTCATAAATGTCGGTTATTAGATTTACTGTCAAACGTCCAATCCTTATAAAATTCAATTCACCGCAAAACAACTATAGTCCGTATAGCCCTCTTCGATAAATAAATATAACCAAAAGACGAAGTACTTACAGAGAAAGCTCAAGCAGCGTTGAGAAACGTATAGAGCCATCTAGATGAAGATGAAGCTCTACCTGAATGTGAATATCGGTATTACTATGTATATCTCCAATACAGCATGTAGCGTAGTGTGTAAATGTGTCTTGTAATGCAAACATGTTCTTTGGCATGATCCTAAGTTTCTATGGGCGGCTATGCCCAGCATCATCCGAGGAGTGCTAGTTGGCACCTGGAGTTGTCTACGAGGAAAAAATACCGACTTGATAGATTGCCAAGCGAAAGTCATTGTATAGGTATGCACTCAATTTTCTCTACGACGCTATGAATGGATTTAAATACATGACGCATGCAGAAAAGTATGATCAACGCCGAACCTTTTATTCTTTACCGTCAAAGGACCTGATATTTTTCACAAATCGAACATACCTTGGGAAAGTTGAAATCCTTCTTTGACCGCTCCGATACGGGTGGTAAATAAACCATAACAGAAAATTGCCTAAACTAACCACGTACTGTTTAGTCATGAACGAGGTTTTCAATGTGAATATAGGACTTCAACAAGTTGTTAATGGCAGCCCTGAATCACTAAGTTACAAAAATAAACGCCTTTTTGTGAGCACAACTTTTATCCAAGCAAAAACTGTTTTAAAAAACATCCTCCTCTTCCGCTGGACTTCTACATGTTTTAGACAATAGGCCTACAATAACTAACACTGAGAGATATATACACAATGAAGACAATCTAATAAACGATCCTACTCAAAAATAATCAAGTAGAACCACTTTCTTTTTACTTCTTCTTTCATCTCTTATCCGGATTTTCACAGAGTCTCTTCTTCTGAATAGGGAGCGCATAGGACACTGGAAGTAACGCCCGTTATCACGAGCATGGTGCTAGTTTGATTCCGCTCCGAGCCAAGCAAGGCTCTCATCCCTCCGGGTCGGGAAATTGGTACCGGACTTGTCCGAGAAAAAACCACTCTCTAAAATCTAACTGAGAACGCTCCAGCTCGTCTATGTCAGGACTCCAGGGAGAATTACTCGATTAGCATTCTACGGCATTCAAGATGACATGAAGAATCCTCAAGCAGCAATCTAAGCCGCACGTAAAGTTGGAAGATCCTTGCGAATGATAGATGCGGGGAAACGAATCGAATGTAGAAGTGCTGAGATCCGCACAGAGACGTGAAGACGGGTCAAATAAAATAAAATAGAACAAAAAAAATAAAAAATCTCTTCAGAAAAACTCTGTCCCACTTTCTACAATCTATCTTTTTTAGCCCTCATTTTATCCACCCCTTACAATCAAAAATAACTGGCGCATTAAATAAATCATCTCTCGATGCCATTTTGATTGAAAGGATTCTAAAGAAAAGAAAAGAAAGTGAACGAAATCACGTTCGTGACAAAACGGTCAAATACTAAAATGAAAAATTGATCTTCCGGAGAGCGAAAGGATGTGCCTTGCGTTTATCACCTCAAAGATGATGAATTTTGCCCATGTGATGTATCCGGCGGAAAGAATGACGAGAAGCGCTGTTAAAGACAATGTCGAGAACTCAACCAACGAAGGATCTATTCGTCCTTACGGGCCGCCGGAAAAGGCCAGTTTGCTCATCTTAAACAAGGAACACGAATGATATCACATTTATTTTAGGAGATGTTTTATTTAAACTGTTTTCTGCAAGAGGGTGGTCATGGATAGTTCCTCGGGCTTTCCGTAGTAGACATGGTATTTATCTGCTATAGCCAACCTCGGGAAAGCCTCTAATGGACTTCCCAGTTGATGTCAGCGTTTCGGTCAAACCAAAGAATACGATAGAATCTATTTGCATTTCCAGTCGAGCATTCGTCAGGTATAGTCGATTTATGGCAATAAAGACAGGTAGTACGTCTTCCAGTAGAGCAAATGCTAGATTTCGCCCCCGGTTAACTCGCTACCCGTTGGGTAGAATATGCCATCCACCTTCGCTGCCAAGTCTCTTAAGGAAAAGAAAATCTCTGGATTTTATGAATAACGGACGAGATTGAAAATGAAGCTGCAGAGCAATGAAATTCAGCGACAAACAATGATACGGCTTGTTTACTCGGTGATGTCGTGCTGTTGAGTCGACGCATTTTTATTAAGTGCTTTCACCTGCTCAAACAATAATGTCGATTCCATTTCGCTTTATTGAGAACACAAGAAAGTAACAACAGTAACAACAAACAACATCGTCCGTACGAGCAGAAGAGTTCGTTAACGACTGTAATGCAATAGATAGAGATAGATGTCATAGTGGTGGTGATGCCGATCATCGCAAGCACTGTTCTGATTCGATCCCCCACCAGGCTCACCAAACTCTCATCATTGCGGGGTCGGGAAATTGCTACCAGACTTTTCCCGGAAAAAACCACTCTACAATCTAAGTGGGAACGCTCCAGCCCGGGCATCTCAGGACTCCAGTTAGAATCGACTAGACTAGCATTCTAAGACATTCAAGACGAAATGAAAACTCTCAAGCACTAGGCTAAGCCATACGTAAAAGTTGGGAGACATTCGTGAATGATGGATGCGAAGAAACGAATGGAATTTGAGAAGTACTGAGATCCGCACAATATATATGAAGACGGGTAGTATAAAATAGAATAGAAAATAATGTAATAGATGTCATTTACCCTAGATTACTAAGCTATCATAGAGTTGGGAAAATGTTCTATTTGGCTGGTTTAATAATACTGAAAGACATTTGTTATTTATGCCGAGATAAAATGAAAAACGGTTTTTAAGGATACAATTTCGTCTAAACGATTCAGTGCCACTCTAAAAAATAAATTATGTATAAAAAAATTATGTATTATTATACTTACTAACTTGATACTTGGACGGCCCATCATAACTAGCTGTGCAGTCTCCAACACAATCACCATTTTTCAGAGATTTGCTAGTTAAGCCATTGTGGTTCCCTAGAATTCCGAGGACAACCTGGCCAAAGTCTGCTGCCGGTCGTCACTTCGACAGGCAGTCGCAGACCTCGTGGATAAGAGGGGGATTTACCACCATGCAACTTTGATACCAGGACGGTGGTGAATCCTGGTATTGGTTTACTCTTAGCTAGGCTTCCTCCTCACAATTAAAGTTAAGAGATTAATAACTTAGAAATACTTAACTTTAAATCGTTTTTCGATTAATTTAAGAATTCAAAAGACCGACTTTTCATGAAGCTCGGCGTAAATAGTTGATATGTTTATTTATATGATCTTATAAACTGATCTCGTTGAGCTTATGCGAGGTTGGTATAGGCCTTTGTTGTCGTTGTTGTTGTTCTCGTCGTTGCTGTTGGTGCTGCTGGTCGATAGTTTCGGCGATTTCGTTTCCTCAGAGCCTAGACGTATCTCATCCAACAGTACTATTATATTCGGTGAAATATTTGTAGCATTAATGAAGATTACACTATGAAATAAATGCCATATTGATCAGAGGACTACTCACCGTGCTGTTACGAATGGAGTGGAGCTGCCCTCGCGTTGTTCACTTGGGACAACGAGCGAGACCCATCCAGAGGTCGAAAATCATTTTGAAATAAGGCGCCAGGTCACGAGTGATAGTGAGGCATTCGTCTTGGCGGTTCATCTTTGGATTTTTCAAAATTTATCCAAAACTCCTATATCACCGTCCCACGTGAGCGACTCGTGGACCAGTCCCACTCATAACAGCACGGTGAGTAGCCTTTTTGATCAATATGGCACTTATTTAACAGTGTAATCTTCATTAATACTTTAAATATTTCACCGAATATAAAACTACTATTACATAAAATACGTCCAGGCTCTGACGAAGGTGAAGTCGCCGGAACGTCGGTCACTGACCAACAACACCAACAACAACGACAACGACAACAGAAATCTATACCAACTTCGCATCGGCTCGACAAGACCAGTTCATAAGATCATATAAATCAATATTTGTTACTTACATTGATGTTGTGCACATTTTAAGGCTGACTTGATTTGTGATTCTTTCCATAACACTTGGTTTATGAGGCTTTCAATATAAATGAAATGGATTTAAAGCACGAAAACCGCATCACTTTACTTTAATAGTTCAAACATGGAAAGGTTAGAGTAACAATGACTGGAAGTATCAAGAAGGTATGTGTTGGAAAAGGGCTTCCAAATGTTGATGAGAAGATGATTCCAAGGCCTTCGTAATGAGGATATGAACCTAGTAATGAACAGGTCGTGTTCGTCCTTAAACTAACGACCACCTTAAGGGGTGAAAGAAGCTCCCTGCAGAAAAACTTGTCCGAAGGTTGCAGAAGAACTAGACTTTAACCTTTCAACAGTCGTTTGCCACTTGAAAGACACCAGAAAACTAACACTCGATAAACAGGTGTCATTGAATTGGACATATGGCAACAAGCCGATCGTCACGAAGTTTGATGTGCGTTTTTTGCTTTCTTTGTACCCAACAAAAAACAAAAACTAGTTCCCACTGTGAAAGGAGATTTTAAAAAACTGGGTCCTATACTATGACTTATCATGTTCAGTCAATTGTTGGACCGAAATGAAGGTTCTAAACATATTTCAGTACCAAATTTGCATCAGAACATGGTTACTCCAACGGCTCCGTTTTCGGCAGACAGAGTCATCTATTGGAACATCTCGAACCTTGACAAACAGTCACATTGGAGAACTAATGCCACAAAATCAGTGAAATCCCTAGAAAAGTACCCTAAAACTTATCCCTAACTGTTCAACTGTACAAACATATTCTTTGCAAAATTAAAACTAAAAGGTTAAACAAGTTGAGCAACGAGGCCCTTCACCCAAAATAATGGTCGAATTCTCTCTATTAAAAGTAGTACTACTTTCAAGCATCTCAAAAGCTACTGGATCGAATAATCTCCGACAACAAAGTCTACTGTAAAATGCTTTTGGAGGATTCGTTGCAACCAAAACTTCAGAATCCCATGTTCCCGGAGTGAATAAACTTGTACCAAACCGACAAAAACATGTGAATTCTAGAAGTTCGCTTCCCAATTTTTAATGTTCTCTTTGGGCTGAGTTATTCCTTTTAAAGTCTCAGCTCAAAAGCCGTCATTGCTTTGGATCATCCTAGTAGAATGACATGTACAGTGAAAAAAAATCGACAGTCAGCATTTATGTCGGTCACAGT